CTGATCTTTCCCTTTTTTTACCATTTCCATCTCCTTCTTCTTCTTCTTCCTCATTGTTTCTCATCCCACACTCCCTTGAAAGCATCATCAAACACAGGCAACATCTTCTTCAGGAGAAGTATCAGACACTGAACTCACTGGTTCCGGCTCGTTGGTGACTCGCTGCAACGGGTTCTTCACTTTTGCATTCTGATCCTCCTGTGATTGTTGTGAAGTAGTAAATTATTTTCGGGTTCTTTTATCGTCTCCGATTGGGTTTTTTGACTCGGTCTCACTCTCCTATCTTGAACAACACAGACCCAGAATCAACTGCAAAAGAAACTCAGGATCTGCAGTCTGAAACTCTCTTGGGATTTTCTCAACCAATAACCCAAAGATTTCTCCTCTGCTACTTCTCCAATTTTACCATCTTCCACTTCGCGTTCTTCCCCCGAAGAAGAAGACGAAGAAGAAGTTGAGTCTGTCAATCACCCAGTTGTTGCTGTTGTTGGTGGTGGTGGTGGGGGTGGTGGTGGTAAAGAGATCTTTGGAGGAAAGGAAGAGCAGCCAAATGAGCTTTCATGTGACCACCTAAAGCTCTGCCATTAGAGAAAGACCTTGGACAAGTTTGCATTTGTGCTTCTCCTTGCTACAAAACACAACAGAAGAACTTTGTTTGTTTCCTCTCTTCTCTCTCTCTCTGTGAAGTATAGAGATTGGGAACTTAAAAGGAGTAGTGACAAGCATTCCTCCACCAAAGACACGCACAACCACCAAAAATTATGATTCTACATATAAATATGAAAAAACAGTTGTAATTTCATTTAATTTATAATTATCTATTTATTTTCAGAATGCCCAAAAAATTATAAAATGTGTGATCATGAATGGGAAAGAGGGACAAGTAACATGCAATCTTGCCCATTTCATTTCTTTTTACCGTTTCTGATTCCTCCATCCCTTTTCTGGTTTAATTATATATAATATACCCATTTCATTTTCCTTTTTCAAGTTCAAATATTGTTAGCGGATGTTTCTTCATCTCAAAAGTAAATAAGGAGTAAGTCAGTAATTGTATGCGTAAAGAGGAGCCATTTCGTAGAATCAGATTTCCGTTATTAATGAATTAATTGTGGAAATATTTCGTGGCTTCTTATACAGTTAGCAGTCTTGTAGCGACAGTTAAGGGGTCAGCTCAAGCATGAATAAGATGGGCTAACTGCTACCCACTTCCACTTCCTTTTCATGGTAATTTTATTGTCCTTTCCCGTTTGAGATTCTAAATCAATTAAAATTTTTGTAATGTTGCCGGTTATAGTAACTATCTTTAGCATGCCCCCACGCTCCGTCTGTAGCCGTGATCACAAGCGCACCTAAGAACAACTTTAAAAAAATATATATAGAAATAAAACTACAATCTTCTCAAGCATAAATTACATATCTTGAACCCGCATTGACCTATAATGCGAACAATTTCATATTAGGTGACAATTCAATTGTTTGGCATCAATCCACCAACAACTTTTTTTATATGTTAACTTGAAAATTACTTCAATTTGGTACGGATATTACTAAAAAAGTCTATACGATTTTTAGTTCTTGATTGCAAGTTTCCAAGTAAGAAAGAGTGTGTCATGATCTTAGCCATCACACCGCACTAGAACATCTGCTAAGGAATCAACACTTATTGTCCATATTATTATTATTATCCCTATAAGCAAACACCAAAGAGAGGGGACCAGCTAATCTATCAGCATGACAACTAAGTGTATTTTCATACTCCAAATTTGATCATTTGGAATATGTTACCGTGGCCGAGTTACAAGGAGCCAAAGCATCGATCCCCTATATATATTTTAATCTAATCCCTTAACCAACTCTACTTACACATGCTTCTTCTCTTCCTCCACTTCACATGTTGGAGTTAGATAAATCTCCAGCTAAGGCTGAAATCTAAATAATCTATATTTATAGTATTGTGTGGTGGGTTTAAAAGGGTTTTTTTGGGCGAAGATTGGATTATTTGGAAATAATGTGTGGGTTTTAGGGAGAGGGGAATAATGGGTGTTGGACTTTTTGGTTGAATTTGAAAGGAGGTGGAGGCACTTGCTTGCTGGCATTGGCATGACTGAAAGTGCATGCATGGGCGAGAGTAATTGAGACATAAATGGGTGTGAAATCATGGTGTTTGTGGCGTGAAACAAGGTTAATGCCAACACAAACAAGACGCTGTGTCTCTGTGATTTAAAAAGTATTGAGATATGTTATCTGCTCTCCATTTCTAAAAGACTAAAGTCTGGTGGATGCTTTCTTTTTTCTTTTACAGACTCAACTCCAACACCATTGTTTCTTTTTCAATCCTATTTCTTTGCTTACAACATATCTAACCCACATACATTTTTCACCGCCTTTTTAAATACCCACTAATTTAATGTGGATCAATTAATTCATTATAGCACAATCCAAAGAAATAAGAAAAAGAAGAGGCTAGGGTTTCATTGATACTGCACAATGCAATCGAATACAAAAGAATAATTTAACCTAAATACAAAGAGACTATATATAGGCTAAACAAAGGAAACTGAAAAGATAGGGAAACAATAAAAATACTATTCTATCCTTAATAAACAATAAAACAAAATAATCTTATATTTCTTAACAGAAGGAAAATGATTAGGATGAGAGTGATGGACCTGATGGTGTCCATATTTATATTTTATTAATTAACGTTGTGTAATATAATGAGTTAGTAGAATATAGTGAAGGGGTGAGTAGATTATTGGACATATAATGGCACCTTTATTGTAGCTAAGAATTTTCAAGAAACAATAATAATTATCAATTACTTTAGCACAATAGTATAAACTTCATGAATTGTGAAGGAAGCAATTATTCGTTGAGATATCATACAACATTCATTCATGCTTTCATTATTTGAACATAATAATTTTAATTAAACATTGAATTTAAATTTACTGATATATTCCAAATATTGAATTTTAATTTAATGATGCAAGCATTTTTAATTATTTTAATGTAGACTAAATAACATATTGGTATTCAAGAATGCATAGAAATGATGACTTAGAACTATTTTTTTTCCCCCTCAATTTTCTGGTATTTTATCCTTTAATGATAACAAATTAACAACCCTTCTTATATTAAACAATCTAAGTGATTAAATGACGCAAATAATATTTTATGAGATGATACAGTAATATGAATATTTAAAAAATTAAAGCTTGAAATAATTTAGAAAGGGGCATTACTTTGGTAGTGCTGCTATACCAAACTTTTGAAGATTGATTGAGTGGATTTTATTAAATAAACACTTGTAAGTAAGATATAAGTTAATTGTCGGTTGGAACTTGCGATGAGGGTAAAGAATCTGAATCTCCCACCAGCTAAAGTGGCCAGTGTCGTTCCTTAAAACGCAGCGTTGTCTTTCACTGCTATAAAAGCTCAAACCATCCATCGAATAAACACTTTTTCTTCTATTTTATTTTCACCTTCTACAGATGCCCAACAATGTTTTAATTAAAATGGTTGTCTATTTTTCGGGTGAATTATGCTACGTTTTCCGTAAATTTTTAAGATTATTTGATTTAATTAAATAACGCCCACGTAGGAAAATTAATGGGGGCCCACTGACATTTCTAAGAAAATGATTTGGAGGAAAAAGGTCTGCCACTTCATCCCCAGTTCACGTCTTTGTTCCCAGCTTTCATAAAGCATGCCACAAGTCACGCTGACCAAATCTTCACCATTTTCTGTTATTTACCTATTTACCCCTTTGCTCCCACCTCATCCTCATCAACAGTCTCCTCCGTTGGATGTGCGGAAATCTTGTGTAGCCCACTTCTTGCTCACACTAAATAAATGCTCTTTATCACGGTTAAAATTAATTTGAGCATTTGCTTTGTACTAGCTGTCCCAGTTGCATTAATATAATATTAATTATTTTGTATTATAAAATATAAATAGAACATACGATCCATAGAATCTCTTTTAAAAGAAAGAGTTAGGAGGATTATGGATAAATTGGAATTTCGGTGGCGGCAAGTGCATAATTTCCATTAAAGGTTATTTATAGAAACCTTAGTAAGATTATAAAAATAAAAATCTAATTTGCTTTCTTTGAATTGTAACTGGGGTGTGTTTTCATAACTTAATGTCTACAACAAGTAACATCATTATCACACCTAAAATTTCCATCTTTAGAGTTGCATGATTTAACAGGAATTGCCAAATTGGACGTCCAGAAAGTAAGAATCTGCCATGTAATTTACGTGTAATCATTAAGCATCCATCATATAGAAATTCAGCAGTAAAGATTACAGAAGAAGAATTGAAAAACCAAGAGAAATGCGTAATGAATATGTGTTTTGGGTAGCAGATGTTAACGGAGGATTAGAGCACTAATCCCCAGTATCTTGTGAAAGAAGAAAAGAAAACACATGACCAATCATTTATTGACTGACATGTCCTACTCTACTCTTATCAATCTAATTTACTATTTAATTAATCTGACTGATTCTTCTATAACAACGCCATGGCACATCCTTTTGGTCCCCGGATATTTCGTTCATTTCAAGGCACATAAATCAAAACTCGGATCAAGGATATTTCCGTCTTTTCGGTTCATCTTCGAGTCATTGATTTTATACTTTAAGCTAAAACAACAGACTGAAACCGAAAACAAAAGAGAGATTTCATCTCCATTCCCCAAGTGGACAAACCTCATCATCAAAATATAAAATAAAATTTGTAAGCTTTAAACAACAGCTGGAAACAGGAACAGTACTACATAACATTAACAGAATTGAACACTACTACAGAGACCGACCCTCTATTGGGTCCACAGTAACAAGAAAAACTCCATTACTACCTTTTTTGTTTTTGGGTACAAAATGAAGTGAGCTAAATCTACCTCTTTTAATTAACAATTTGCTTCACTTAAAGCAACAACAACAATTCTGATTCAAAGAATGAGTTCTAAAGTAATTTTTACTTTTTTTTTTTTCCAAGGAATGAATCTTGGCATATAATTTCTTACACAGAGTGCCCTGCTACTGCTTAGACAAAGTTATGAGGATGTCAAAATAGTTGGTGAAAAATCCAAAGTAATTGCAACTATGGAGAATCCAGATAGTACTTCAAATTCAATAAACATGAACAAAAATCTCTACCTAAATTACACAAATGAAGTAATTAAAGGCTTAGATCCATGTCCACCTGGGTTGTTATGCATCCGAAACCACACTATAGTCGTCTTCTTCCAATGGAGCAGGAAGATTAAGATCTATCAAACCGTTGTCAAATTTAGTAGAATGAGTAACAGTAGCAGTTGCTGCAGCAGCAGCAGTTGTTGATGAAGGTAGCAAGTGAGATCTCTTATGGCCACCAAGAGCTTGACCCGACCCAAATACTTTAAAACAAAATGGGCACTCAAAGATCGAAACTTTACCTGCATTTCTTGTCTCCGCAGCTTCACAAACTTTCTTGTGTCCGCCCAATGCGTGATAAGATCGAAACACTTTCTTGCACTTCTCACACCGATACTTCACTGATCTTTCCCTTTTTTTACCATTTTCATCTCCTTCTTCTTCTTCTTCCTCATTGTTTCTCATCCACACATCCCTTGAAAGCATCATCAAACACATGGCAACATCTTCTTCAGGAGAAGTATCAGACACTGAACTCACTGGTTCCGGCTCGGTTGGTGACTCGCTGCAACTGGGTTTCTTCACTTTTGCATTCTGATCCTCCTGTGATTGTTGTGAAGTAGTAAATATTTTTCGGGTTCTTTTAGATCGTCTCCGAGTTGGGTTTTTTGACTCGGTCTCACTCTCTCTATCTTGAACAACAACAGACCCAGAATCAACTGCAAAAGAAAACTCAGGATCTGCAAGTCTGAAACTTCTCTTGGGATTATTTCTCAACCCATAACCCAAAGATTTCTCCTCTGCTACTTCTCCAATTTTACCATCTTCCACTTCGCGTTCTTCCCCCGAAGAAGAAGACGAAGAAGAAGNTTTAAAACAAAATGGGCACTCAAAGATCGAAACTTTACCTGCATTTCTTGTCTCCGCAGCTTCACAAACTTTCTTGTGTCCACCCAATGCGTGATAAGATCGAAACACTTTCTTGCACTTCTCACACCGATACTTCACTGATCTTTCCCTTTTTTTACCATTTTCATCTCCTTCTTCTTCTTCTTCCTCATTGTTTCTCATCCACACATCCCTTGAAAGCATCATCAAACACATGGCAACGTCTTCTTCAGGAGAAGTATCAGACACTGAACTCACTGGTTCCGGCTCGGTTGGTGACTCGCTGCAACTGGGTTTCTTCACTTTTGTATTCTGATTCTCCTGTGATTGTTGTGAAGTAGTAAATATTTTTCGGGTTCTTTTAGATCGTCTCCGAGTTGGGTTTTTTGACTCGGTCTCACTCTCTCTATCTTGAACAACAACAGACCCAGAATCTACTGCAAAAGAAAACTCAGGATCTGCAAGTCTGAAACTTCTCTTGGGATTATTTCTCAACCCATAACCCAAAGATTTCTCCTCTGCTACTTCTCCAATTTTACCATCTTCCACTTCGCGTTCTTCCCCCGAAGAAGAAGACGAAGAAGAAGTTGAGTCTGTACAATCACCCAGTTGTTGCTGTTGTTGTTGTTGGTGGTGGTGGTGGTGGTGGTAAAGAGGAATCTTTGGAGGAAGAGGAAGAGCAGCCAAATGAGCTTTCATGTGACCACCTAAAGCTCTGCCATTAGAGAAAGACCTTGGACAAAGTTTGCATTTGTGCTTCTCCATTGCTACAAAACACAACAGAAGCAGAAATCTTAAGCACTTTGTTTCTCTCTCTCTCTCTCTCTCTCTCTCTGTGTGAAGTATAGAGAGATTGGGAACTTAAAAGGAGTAGGTGACAAGCATTCCTCCACCAAAAGACACACACAACCCAAAAATTATGATTCTACATATAAAATATGAAAAAGAACAGTTGTAATTTCCTTTAATTTATAATTAATCTATTTATATTTCAGAATGCCCAAAAAATTATAAAAATGTGTGATCATGAATGGGGAAAGAGGGACAACTAACATGCAAATCTTGCCCATTTCATTTCTTTTTACCGCTTTCTGATTCTCCATCCCTTTTCTGGTTTAATTATATATAAATATACCCATTTCATTTTCCTTTTTCAAGTTCAAATATTGTTAGCGGATGTTTCTTCATCTCAAAAGTAAATAAAGGAGTAAGTGCAGTAATTGTATGCGTGAAAGAGGAGCCATGGTTGAATTTTTGATTTCGTAGAATCAGATTTCCGTTATTAATGAAGGGTAATTGTGGAAATTAATTGCGTGGCTTGCTTATACAGTTATGCAAGTCTTGTAGCGACAGGTTAAGGGGTCAAGCTCAAGCATGTAATAAGATGGGCTAACTGCTACCCATTCCACTTCCTTTTCATGGTAATTTTTATCCAAAACATAACCATGTCCTTTCCCGTTTGAGATTCTGTATTCACCATTTTGCCTAATTGATTTATGATATAAAATTTATAAATCAATTAAAAAATTTTGTAATTTTGCCGGTTATAGTAAGTATCTTTAGCATGCCGGCCACTTGGCCCACGCTCCGTCTGTAGCCGTGATCACAAGCGCACCTAAGAAGCAAGACTTTAAAAAAAATATATATAGAAATAAAACTACAATCTTCTCAAGCATAAATTACAATATCTTGTACCCGGCATTGACCTATAATTGCGAAACAATTTCATATTAGGTGACAAGTCAATGTTTCAATCGTTTAGCATCAATCCACCAACGAACTTTTTTATATGTTAACATTGAAAATTACTTCAAGTTGGTATAGTTCAGTACGGATATTTAACTAAAAAAGTCTATACGGTTTTTTTTTCTAAGAATGGTACGATTTTTAGTTCTTGATTCATGCTTGGATATGTAACAAAAATACCAAAATAATTAGTAGTTATAATATATGAAGTGTGAGAGTATATAATTAGTGAAAAAAGAAAAAGAGGCCGACTCCCTTCTCGTGATAAAAGGGTATTTGTCTGACTGTGTTGGTGTGATTTGGGGGGTAAATGCCGTTTTGTTAGAGACAAGAGGCAGTGCATTGTGGGTTGAGAAGACAATAATTGAAGAAGAGGCCAACGTTAATACTTACAAGCGGAGAACAGTAATAGTTTTTACATGTTCTGTCTTCACGTTATATATACTCTTATGTTATCTCATAGTCATATCCATGCATTCATTCTACACACGTTCCTTCTGTGCATGCTCATCCATACATCCTCCGCCTTTTCATTTCCTATTACTTAATATATATATACCTTCTAAAATCAATATTCTAAAATGTTTATTGAGTGATGTGTTATCATATAATATGATGATGAAAAATTTCTTCCAAGTAGTGTGTTACCGAAAATGTGACAAATGTCATAGTAATATTACATTAAATGATTCATAATTTGAGATAAAACTTTCAAGTATTACCCAATATATGTAATATTACTTTCCAAACATTTAAAGTTAAAATACATTGATCATTAAGGTTTCTAAAATAACAAAAATCTTAAATTAAGCTTACTAATTAGTAAATTTTTGTTGTTAGGTGTATTACTCAAGAGGTTTTAAGTTTGATTCCCTTTGGTTGCTAATAGAGGTGATCACTGGAGGACTATTCGGCCATTAACTTCAAAGTTTTGGAAGATTAGTCGAAGTATACGTAAGCTAAAGTAGACACTCTTAGTTACCAACGAAAAAAAAAAATTTGCTACTCATATACACAAAAATTCGTTAATTTTAAATGAATTGTTATCTCCAAATTAGCAAAACAAGTTTGTACTTAAAAATATAGCATGAGTGAAATTAAAAATAAATTAATGAGATTAAACTAGATGGCATGCCAATGACACAATATTTAAGTTTACTATCTATAATTAATTGATAAAAAAGGAAGAAAAAACTGATATTTTAATTAGTAATTAGAATAACAAAAAGTAGAACTAAAAAAAAAAAAATATTGATCAATCCAATATATGCTTGGAAGTTGTAAAACATTATATGGAAAGTAAAAACATAGAATAATTTTATTAAGTCCAATGAAAGCTCGAAGACAACAATTGCATGAATACTAGTAAGAATGATCTAGGTCTAATGCAGTAATAATGCTTGAGTAAAACGGGGGGAGATTGTCCCAGTTAAAAAGCGACACGTGTTGAGGTTTAACGTAATCCGTATGGACTGAGGTTTGAAATGGGCCATGGTAGCCTTTGATAGGGTAAGCCCATACCAACATTTCTATTAATTGCTTCAATACTCTCATCCCCACACTACAATTTTGATGGACCCCTTGATAACATCTCCCTAACCTCTTGCCATTTATTTAATCAAAAGTTATCAATTTCAGTTTGCAAATTATGCTACAAGAATTGCTTCTCATAAATTAACAAAGCTTTAGGCATTTACTACCTCCAAATAAAATAAATTAAAAAACAATATAAATGAGAGAGTCAAATGCATGATATTACTGAATCCTTAGACTAGGTTTATTTTATTGAATTAGTCATCTCTTATTACTTAATGGAATATAATGGGTGTGTGGTCCCTTTTTACCCCAAAACTCATCGTATGTTCATAACTCTAGAGTTACATGAAATTTGAATCAGCCAATACTTAGAATCAACCCAAACACTAAAAATATGAGGCACCAAACCTATAAGAATAAAACTCGAGATTAAAGAAAAAATGCATGAAACATATATTTTCTCCACCTAAATATAGCAAAGCTAAGGACAAAGGGAAGAGAAAAGCTAATGAGCCAGCAAAGGAGAAGAGATCATGTACTCTGAAATGTGGGTATTGCCAAGAATTTGGACACAACAGGTTAAGTTGTAAGAAGAATATGTCACATTTAAGAGGCCAACCAGGCATTACCACCAATTTATTATGTGTTTTAGGTCTTTTATTTTTTGAGTTAATTTTAGGATTTTTTTTTCTTATAGAACCTTTTTTTCATTTATATATCTTCCACAGACAATCATGATGGTGTTCAAAGTCGGTGTAGGCGTGTAGCTAAGCAATGGTTTGGCAATGCAAACAAAACACCAATTTTTTTTTTTTTCTTCTGCTATAAATGGGATGGCAGTACACAACATTGAACTTTTTTACTTGGGTTGTATTTTACTGTTGTGATGTGGACTTGATATTCACACACGTGGAAGTCAACTTTTACCTTGGGTGGTCAATGTAATTATTATGACTTAAGGGGCATTTCAATCTTTCTGGTATCTTCAATAAACCTGATCTAATTTAGGTTTTGCGTAGCTCATTCTCGATCATTCTCTTGGTTAACAGAGAGAGAAAACGGTTGGAATTGCTGTGCTAGAAATCTGAAGAACGTCGATGGAATCAAACGGTGATGGTAGGTCTTAGTGTCCTATTTGTTTTCCTTTTGTTTGCTGTATAATGGCTGCCTATTTGGATGTATGAGTGGTGAGAGCATCTGGGTGTAGGTGTAAATCAGAGGGATTTTTCTCGGGTTGTACCTTGTGTAAAGGGGGTGAGCCTAATTTTGTAAGGTTTCTCATTTTCTCATAGTGGATTCTATTTCTTTTGCCCTGAAGAGTGAATGTAGGTATATTTCAAATTATTGAACCACTATATATCTGGTGTTCTTTATTTTCTTGTTTTCTATTTTACCTGATTATTGCTATAAACTTGTGGCTTTGGCTTGGATTCGAATAACTGCATACTGTGTTCGTTTTGGTTCATGTTACAACATTTACATACTGTGTTTTGTTTGGTTTGGTGTGTTTTTATCCTTGGAGACACTATTAGATATGGAGTACCAATATAGGATTTGTGTTATCAAATTTTCATTGTCGAATCATTTTGTAAATTCCATATTTTATCAATATGTCATTGCAGTGATACATTTGTTAATTCCATCTTGTTAGCATATAAGTTCCATACAAAGAAAGATCAAACATCATGAAAATTTTTCAGGATTATCCGAAGGCTAGAAATCCAAAGTACCGTAACCCTTCCACATGTGCAGAACCTATTTTGAACTTAAAACCCTCCATTAATCTCATTAGATTGCTTGAAGAGGCATTGAAAGGTTTTGTCCTGCTTGTAAGTGACTTTGTGAATTGGATGTGGGGATTTACAATAAGAAAATGATTGAAAAAATATCAAAACTGAACTTTGCTTGCCAAGAAACTATGAATGGTGTTTGCTTTGTAAATGGTAGGACAAGGTGAATGGCTGCATTGTATAACACTTGCAAACTTTTTACTCGTTGCATGTCAAGGGTATAATGCATTTATTGGTTATATTCAAAATCATCAAATACTAATCTTTTATTCACAATTTACAATATTTAGAGTAAGACAGACTTTACAGCAATATTCTACATCCTAATCAGAAGCACATATTTTAACGTCGGTTAAAAATGTGGATGTCTTTATGAAACTGTGGGTGTGTTAACTTATGTGAAACCTATGGGTGAATAATAAATTTCCCTAAAGGGAGGGATAGATGAGAGATTGTTAGATTTTTTTTTTTTTTTTTTTTTTTTTTTTTTGTTTGATAATCGGGGTGTTACAGTCAATTACACGTATTCAATTATCTATCGGACCTTGGAACAATGGGCGGCATAAGAACTTAGTGACTATCCTATAGCAACCGATGAGAGATTCGAACTTAGAACCTCGAGTAATACACTCAAGAGTTCCTATCAAACCACTCGATACCCAGAGTATTTTGGTTACAATAATTATTACTCTGCTAATATATTAAGTTACCATGTAAATTAAAAAGTTAATCTTTCAGCTGTGATCCAAAATTTATATTCAAATAGCATTCATAATCAATACAATTTGTATCTATTATACTTATGCCTAACTGATATATCTATTACATTACTAAACTTAAAATCTGAAACATAAATACAAATAATGTTAACTTAAGAGAGGTTTCTCTGCGTCGAACTCACTCTTTAAGCTATTGGAGTAAGTTTCTTTTCTTTTAGCCCACAGCACAAAGTAGAGACCACAGAACATGAGGATCATACCAGCAAGACTGCATTTAGAGTTAGGGATTGATTATTATTTCCAAGTTAATAAGCAAGAGTCAATGAGTCATAAAAACATTGATTATAAAAAATGTACAAGCCGTCAATTTAACATACCTTCCAATGTCAATGGTGTCTCCTAAGGTAACCGCGGTGAAGATGACAGAGATTACTGTTGAGATGGGGCTGAAAACGGACACAAGAACTGGCCCTCTTTTCTTCATTGCCCATCCATTGAAGCTTACAGTTGCTCCACCGAATAAACCCCCCTGCTCATCCAGATCAAAGGTTGGTTAAACAATAAGTAGATCAACATTAAAGATTTTTCAGTCCTATAAGAGCCAGTCTCGAGGAAAGAACAGTACTATTACCAGCACAGAATAGCCAACGATATGTGCAAATCCAAATTCCCAGCCAAAGTCTAATTTATGTTCTTGAATAAACTGAACAATGGCTGTTATTACCACTCCAATCAATGATGTTATAGCACACAAAGAAATCGGCACAGGAAAATCTACCAAAGTTATCGCCTGTTAAACAATGCAAATGAATAAAATGATTCATAAAAGAGGCAAAAAATTGTATATCCACATTACTCTCATCATATACAGTGTTTCCTGAATTACCTGCAAGACAATACTGCTTGATAAAACAAAAACTGCTGCCAAGAGATACATGCAACCGACAATCTTTTCCCTATCGAACATCATGGCTGGTGAGACTGATGATGTTCCTTTGGCAGCCTCTTTTACCGGTGCAGTGCTGTGCATTAGGCTCATTGTAAGTGCACCTCCAACACACAGCAATGTTCCTAAGATTTTGACCTTGCTGTGCAAGCAATTTAGATCAACTTTTTCCATCCTGCACAAACGTTGCAAATCGTATAAGTGTAACAAGTAGTTCAAGGATCTTGGCAATTATCTTAATTTGTCTTTGTTCTTAGTTGTACTCTCTCCTTTCTGTTTTAAATTTGAAAGTTCTCCAACAAGCATGTAATTAGCAACCCATTTCAGTTTCAAATTATCCAGTTAAGAGGTATATTCTTTTCTAAGCAAATCTTATGTTAAACGAAACAAATAAAATAAAAGAATCAGTATCCATAAAATAATAAAAAGTAAGATTTGATACCTTACAGTCCAAGCAATGACGAAAATGAGGCCCGGAGCAAGGTTTGGCATGGCTGTTGCCATTGCTGGTGAGGTTAGTTTAATGCCCTTCAGAAACAGAGTCTGGAATAGAGTTACTCTGAAGCAGAAAAACAAAACAGAAATTTTATTAAATTCTAGGCCCCATACTAGTTTTCCATTCTTCTTTTACAAGTTTTTCTGTGCATTCTTTTGTTTCTGTAGATGAAAAATGACAGTGTAGCATAACCCAAAGAATTAAAAGTTAATTTTATAACAATTTCACAATACCCACCATCATAAGACATGATTAGATGTTGTTGATTAAACAAATTTGTCTTTTTTAAGAATAATTTGTAAGCTTTAAATGACTGATTCGCAGCAAATTCCTAACCCCAATTCTTTCCGCATCAATTTGAGTAGGAAAAAATAAAAGCAATTGATCAAGAGAAGAGAAAGGAAAAGCCAAAAATACTCCATGAATGAAGACCGAACTCAATAAGTATTGGTGGAATAATAAGACAAAGATGGAGATAGAATACAGGTAAAAACTATATCCACTTTTTTCAACAATCAAAATTAATTAGAAACCCAGAAAAGCAATGGTGTTTACATCATTTGACACTTATTTTTAATATAATCTAAATAAAGTCTTACTTACCCTGCAATAGATATTAAAACTAGCTGCAAAACCAACTTCAAACTCAATCTCTGGGGCCAATTTTTCCTGCAAAAACACCACCAATCCCATAAGAAATCATGAAACATATCTCCCAATTAACCTCAAGAGAAACAGACCCAAAAAAAAAAAAAAAAAAAAAGAAACCTTTCAAAGTAAACAGCAGCAGGAGAGAGGAGGAGGAAGGTGGCGAATGTTGAGAAAATAACAATGGTGAAAGGGCTAATACCAAGAGTCATAATGTAACTCATTAAAATTGTGTTCCCTGCGTACATAAATTGAACTATTATCAACCCACCAACAATTGCCAAATCTTCAAGCATTGTTGGTTTGATATACCAAGCCATCCTTAACTAATCCTCTCTCCAGAGAAAGAAAGAAATTAATCCAAAAGCTTTTGGTATACAAATTATAGAATCTCTTCTTTGTATCCTTAGATTCCTCAGAACAGTTCTCAAAAAGAAGAAACTTTTTCTCTCCTTGTTTCAGTTTTGTTGGTTACAGTGTAAACGTAATTCACCTAATCGTTGGTTCTGTAAATTTTCATTTTTGTTTAATGTATCTACCAAACAAAAAGGAAAATATGAGAGCTAACGTTCATGAGTGGGGAGGCTTGTCTACCAGTCTTCTCCCCGACCTTTGCAAAAACGAGATTCTCTTTTTGTCTTTATTTAGTTGACAACTTAAAAGGTTGATAAAAGCAGGTAGGTACGGCTCCACTCTGTTCCATTTGTCGGCTCAATGAATTAATTTCATTTTTATAAATTATTTTAATCGAAGATTTATTGTTTTTACGCCTATTTCTCTTCCCTTAAAATCAAAACTACCATTTTGATTCACTAGTTTTTCTTTTCATTATAATTACCAATAACTACTTTTTTATTTTTAAAATATAAACTTTAATACTCATATAGTAATGTTATTGGAACCCATATTTTATCTAAAAAGATGTAATTTATTAAAAAATTGAATACATTTTTAAATAATTCTTTACTTTAAAGTCTAATTATACTCCATTAATTTAAAAATTATCCTTTATTATCATTGTTTTAATATAGTAATATAACCTATGGCAATGTATTTTTATATTAAACGACTTTTCCTGCCTTAAAAGATACTTTTCCACCTAAAGTTAATATTTTTTTTACTATCTAAAGTCGATTCTGTTAATAAAAATTCTTTCCGTCACCATCATTTGAACCTTTGATCTTTTCTTGATAAAACTCCTCTCACTCTAGCATGTGATTTATTGCCGATTGTCAGCCACTACAAAACTAGAGTTTCCTGTTTTTAACTGATTTTTTGTTGATTCTGGTGACAAATATTTAATCGATCACTATCATTCGATCCACCACCCTTCACTCTACAAAATCTCTCTTACTTTGGCTCTTAGTAACTCGTCGAACGCCGGTTAAAAAAATGAAGGGTCCGTTTGATTCATTATTTTGATAGTTTTTAAAATAATCTTTTGAAAAAAAATTAAATTGCGCGAGTATTACGATGTAGGATTTGAAAATTTACAAAAATATTCCCTATGTTTATTTATTTACTAAACACCCCTATAATAAAATATTAAAAGTTAACAAAAACACCCCCAATCCACCCATTAAATACGGATAGTCGGTCACCACCGCCGGAGGGTGGCCGGAGTGTTTTTGCAATTTCTAAAAAAAATATTTGGGGGTGTTTAGTTAAATTAACAAATTTAAGAGGTTTAAAAAAATTGAAAAATATAGAATAATATTTTGAGAATAATGATATTTTACTGTTTAACTGTTTTGGGAATACTATCAAAAGCAAAACAAATGAAGCCAAAATATATTTTTGATATTAATAGAATATAAATTTTGGGTAAAAAAATGATATTTTAAAATTTTTTTGTGTGAGAAAGTGCCGTTAGGGTAACCTTGGGTTGGAAATAGTGTCACGTCTCAAGTGCCTGTTAACTTTTCTATATATATTTATATATATAATTGACCCATACATACCCATAGCGTGTTGGTTAATAATAAGAGTGGTGTTGTCCCTCCGCAATCGGTAACGTGCTCCTCTTAATAAGCTATAACAATGTTAACAAAGCTTCACATTCTTATAAACGAGGTACTGATTAGTACGGCTATCAAATTGTGTATCTATCCAAAACCTAATTTTTTAAATTATGTATCACAATTGGTAATGTATATCAAAAATTTAATTTTTTAAATTATGTATCACAATTGATAACGTGTATTGCAGGATACGTCTTTTTCAAAATAATAAATTTTTCTAAAAATTAATATCATCTTCATGATTAATGAACAAATTTTGTGGCATTATTAGCTTTAAATTATAGTATTACATAGGGGCGGATTCAATCTAGTTTTGGCCAGTTTTTTTTTTTAAATACTGATATATGTACAATTTCTAGATTTTGGCTCACACCAATAAAAATATTAATGAATAAAAATATTAATGTGCAATTAGTTTTTATTTTGCCCCACCCTAATAGAAATTTATGAATCCGCTGCTAGTGTTGCATAATCAAAATTAATCACAAAATTAAGAATCTATATCATTTCCTCACAGCCATTCATATCATTTCCAAGATCAATGTCAATATCTATAACTTTACTTGTGTTATTATTATCATGCAAAATGGGCAACACATCTTCCTTTTCCTTTTCACTTTCTTCATGCAAAATAGGTAAATTTGGGCAGGTTTTAGTGAACTAGGTTGGGTGACCTGGATTTGACCTGAAATTTTTTTTGGACCTTTGGCCTAAATTAATAGAGTCGTATCGATTTGTATCAATATTTTTAAGGATGCAAACAGATACGTATTGTATCGTAGGATACATATCAACGTATCGAAAGATTTATGATACACTTTTTGATATGTATCGTTGATGACCTATATCAAATCGTATTATAGGATACGTATCGCATATGGTAGGATACTAATAACTATGCTGATTACTAATAAAAATATAAAAAATAATTGACATATTGCTGGTAAGATGGTATCTCTACATTCAATGTAGATAGAAATTATTGACTTTATAACTTCACCTAACCGTCTAATAAAGAATAACCCATAACAAATTCCACAGCTTGGATGCTCATTAAAGAATATTTTCATATTTAACTTACTGAAAATTTCTACTCTTCTTACTATAATTTCTAAAGTTTTCAATCACATGAAAGATTTGTAAGAAAATAAATTAATTAATTCATCCGAATTTATACTGTTATGTTTGAAACTTTGAAATAAAAACATTCATGCTGATTTTTTTAAATCACCCAATCTGTCACCATTACTAATTTGCTAAGCTATGCAAAGAACTGTAATAAGGGGATTCCAAAATTACCTCCACACGACAAAACACCCCAATGCCCTCTCAATAAATCATATTATTAGCCCAAGTATTTGCATTGATAACCACAGTGCTAACAATCAGGATACAAATACTGAATCATGGAACAATCTCATTTCAATTCTTTTCCAATGTGACTCCAACACTGATTTTGCCATTTATGAAGCCTCTAAAATGCTCCAATCTGGATTTAAACCAGATGGCTATGGCCTCACACACCTGCTTCGAGCCTCAACTCATCTGGGTTTGGACTCTTATTGCCAACAACTTCACAGCTACATTATAAAATCTGGGTTCGTCTCCCATGTTTATGTCTCTACCGCTTTGATAGGATTTTTTCGGAAAATATACTCATTGAGTGATGCTCACAGACTGTTTGTTGAAATTCCTCAACCAGGTGTTGTTTCTTGGAATTCTCTAATTTCTGGGTATGTGCAATCCGGCCAATATCGTGAGGCGCTGAGTTTGTTTCTTGAACTTGATAGGGATACTGAAATTTCCGCCGATGCGTACTCGTTCACTGCGGCTTTAGCTGCTTGTGGCCAACTGAGGTTGTCGCTACTGGGGGCGTTGATTCACTCAAAGATTGTTAAATGTGGCTTGGAAAATGATGTTGTTCTTGCGAATTGCTTGATTGATATGTATGGAAAATGTGGGTCTGTTGAAGATGCAATCCGGGTTTTTGAGGAGATGATTGATAGGGACATTATTTCTTGGAATTCAGTCATAGCAGCATGCGCTAGAAATGGAAACCTTGAACAAGCCTTTGGTTTTTTCTATCGGCTTCCTAATCCTGATACAATCTCGTATAATGAATTGATAAATGGCATCGCTCAGTTTGGTGATATAGAAGAGGCTATTAGCATTTTGTTGAATATGCCGGACCCAAATTCATCTTCATGGAATTCGATTTTGACAGGATATGTTAACATAAATCGAATTCATGACGCTCTAGATATTTTCAGTAAAATGCAAGTAAAGAATATTCAAATGGATGACTATACATTTTCAATTGTTCTGAGTGGTATTGCTGGTGTCTCAGGTTTAACATGGGGAATGTTGATCCATTGCTCCATCGTAAAGCAAGGTTTGGATACTTCAGTAGTTGTAGTGAGTGCTCTAATTGATATGTACTCCAAATGTGGGCAGGTGAAGAATGCTGAATCAATATTCAGATTGCTACCTAAAAAGAATTTGGTAACTTGGAATGCAATGATCACTGGCTATGCTCACAATGGTGATGCGGCCAAGGTGATCCAACTTTTTGAGCAATTGAAATTGTTACGGGATTTAAGACCTGATTGTGTCACATTTCTAAATGTATTAGCTGCATGTTCACATAATGATATTCCATTGCATAAGGCAAATCAGTACTTCGAATCAATGATTAGGGATTACGGTATTGAACCAACAGTTGAGCACTGTTGTTCCATGGTTCGGCTCATGGGGCAGAGAGGAGAGGTTGTGAAGGCAGGGAGAATGATATATGAACTGGGTTTTGGGTCATATGGCGTGGTTTGGAGAGCTTTACTAGGTGCTTGTGGAGCTTGTAAGGATTTAAAGGTTGCAAAGTTTTCAGCTGCAAAGGTGATTGTATTGGAGGGTCACAATGATTATGCTTATGTTATGATGTCTAACATATTTGCATGCCATGGCAGATGGAGAGAAGTGAGTAGATTGAGAAAGTTTATGCAGGACAGAGGGCTGAGAAAAGAAGCTGGTTGTAGCTGGATAATGTTTCTCCATATTCATCAATGGTAGGATGAATGTTGCAAACTTGGCATACAAGGTATGAGCCAAGAACCACAGTAAACGATCTGAAACGAAAACACCCTGGTTATCGTATATTGTTGAAACCATCATGTGCAATTTCTAAATCAGTGTAGTGAAAGTTAAGAGACCTGTTTGATAGAACTCACGAATGGCTCCAGTGCTTGGCACCTGTTCGACTGAATCAAAGGTGAATTTTGCAAAGCTGAAAGTTGGCTGTAGCAAATAAAATTTCTTTGGAAAGGTACAATTCGCTCTTAGTAAACTTTGTGGGGGCAAATAGAAACTACAAAATCAAGAGCACAGAACTCATGGCATTCATCGACTTGGCCAATGGCAATTGAGGCTGGCTGGCTTGAAGTAGCACACTTGAAAAGATGACTACATGAATATATAGCAAGTTCATATTGCAATGTATACTAGAGGTGACAATGGTTTTTTATTGAAAAATAGAGATTTTGTGCAAGTCTATCCCCGCAGCTTTTCCATAACTCCATATTGTTGCGGTTAAATTATTGAATTGAAAATGGCAGTATCACAAGCCTATGAAATCGGTTAGTTGCCAAAGAGATTTTTCTTCATAGTATACTAGAACACGGTCCAATAAAGACTCCAAAACTTTAGGATCTTTAGAAGCATGGTTTATTTCCCTCTTCTTAGATAGATTGGCTATACACAATCCGCCCGGGGGGATACACGAATGAAAATGATCTCAGTACTTGTACAAGTTTATAGCAAGTTAAAAAGATCTCACCTTTTCAAAGAATTTTATAGGGCAAAAGCTAATGTCTCTCAAGCCTCAACTACATGTGAACTCCAGCCTAAATACCTTGCTTGGTGTTTTCTACGGGTAGAAATTGAGAAGAAAGTATTGGGTAGGCATGCATCAACCGTGAAATCCCAGCCTAAAGACTGCGGACTCTTCAGTTCCAATTTTATTATAGGAGCAGAATCCACCAAAGGCACTGGATTGAGATAAGAAATAAGAAATAAAAGCAACAAATGAAGGGAGAAATAGCAAAAAACACATATGATGATGAGAAGGGAGTTGAAGAAGAAAAATAGTCGACCTTTGGCCAATTAAACATTCATGAATGTTATTATATTATACAATGAGGTATAATTCTTATTTCTCAGAAACAATATCTTCTCTCCACTGGTGAAAAAAAAAATAGAATCAGTTCAAGGTTCAAGCAGTATTTCATAAAATACTGAAGCCTTCTCATACGAAAAGCTAAAAATATGCTGCCTCTCCAATTAGCTGTAGATAACCCTTGTGGTGGTATCCGCAATGAGTCACCTTGGAACTGACAAACCTAACTCTATACCACCACAATGCAAAGAATAAAAATGAGAAGACTAAACATATATGTAATAAATACAACATAACAATAGATATTTCCACCTCAATTAGAAATAAAAAAATAAACTCACTTTCATAATGTAATTTCAACTTATTCAAATGTTGTATAAAACTACAACTAGTCCAATTTCCTTAAGCGATTATACAACTTGCTTTGAAAAGATTGTACAAATGGCCAGAAGGCTGAAATATATCAAGTCATCCAACTAAACTTATCAAACATAGTTTTCCACATTCTTTCTAGTCATAAGCAATGAAAGCATAGATGACAGTGCCCACCTCCAAAAACAGCACACATGTCTCACGTACCATCAATTCCATCTGGGATAAGGAGCAGTTATGTTACCATGATATTCTAATCAAGCCAAAATCATCTATTCAACACAATTCTCCTAAATTTCTGTAGTGAGAGTGCTAAGTCATTAAGAATTTCCTACTCATTATGCCTTCTGAATATTGAGTAATTATTACAATGATGCATGTTCAACTTTCCATAATATTACTGCAATTACAGGCTATAACAACATATAAACAGTAATACAATGGAATAGATAGATACCACCACCAAATTGTCATGCCTACCATAACAGTAACTAAATATTGACAGCATAATGCAGGAGCAGAAATATATATATGGAGAGAATTGGTTATCCTGGAAACTAAATGCATTGTCATTTGCATATTAAACACAGCTGCTAGTTTGCAAGAAGCCATGAGAGGAAGCAACAAATAATCAGGTAAATCCTGAAACTCAATGTAGGCAACGAAACACAATACAATTAATTGCCCAAGCAAGTTACCAACATTTTCTTTAAATTTATTTTTGATGTTATGTTTCCTCATAAGCAAGCAATAAGAAAGTTTATTAAGTCATCAATATCTAATCTAGCACAATGAACATCAAACTGTTTACCGGAAAAGAAAAACCACAATGAATTTCACAATCAACTAATCCAACCACTGAAAAGACAGTAGTCAATCACGCCAACAAATAGAAGGAACTTACAGGTATACTAATTCACATTCAAGGCTATCCTTTTAATTTGTTTTCCAAATTAATTTGGGGCGATCAGCAAAATCAACAAAATAGACTTAACATGAAATGTGTCTCCATTCTGATATCACTAAAAACTTCCAAGACAACTAAGAGAGAACTAATAGTTTCCGTACTTGATAATGATGCAGTGGGCATAATTGACAGGTCTTGCAAATCCCAATCTATTTCTTATGTGCCTGCAGGAACCAAATTTTCCAGTTAGACAAAATTAATATACCCGATGAAAGCACTTTCAGCCCCAATGTGTTTCCCCCTCATAGAAAATCTCACTAACTGTGGCTGAACACTCAAATCCTAACATCGTTAGGGGTCCCAACATAGCTATTGGTTAGTTGTTAAGGAAATTAATAGCTTTAACCTAATAACTTTAAGAAACCCAACCCAAAAATTTAAACAGATAAACCTAAAATGTCAGCTAATAAATCTTTGCATATGCAAAAAGACCATGTAATTTCATATGTTATTCACGATTCCAAGCAATTGCAATTGTAATTTCTCGATAACATTTGAGAATAAATAATATATCTAATTTTAAAAAAAAAATCAATTAAGCAAAAATAAAATAAAAATTGATTCATTATTTTACTGATAACAATTAGGAGAAACAAAAAAGCTACTCACTGTCAAAAAGAGAAAAAGCAAGTACTAGAGGCCGGGAGAGGTGCAGCAGAGTGTACCCTGTGAAAGTGATCGACAACTCTTCGATGTTGTGCTCAGACATGACGTCATCCTTGCTGACGCCACCACGCTGTGTAGTGGCAACAGCGACTGCACGCATCCCAGTTCAGACGGGGATCTATCAAAATTACCAAAACAATTGCAAATTATTCACAAAAATTTAAAAAAAAAATAGAAAAGAAAAAATTGCATCAAAATGTAACTGAATGACTGTATACCTGGAGAGAGAGGACCAGCGAGTAGGGGAGGGAGATGAGTTCGTGTGCCGAGGGCACGGAGATGAGGTGGCGGATCTGGTGTTGGGAGATTTTGGAGCGCTGGATCGGATGGCGGACCTGATGGACGACAAGGATGATCTTTGGATGAGTCTGTTGCAAGAAGAAGCCATTACTAAAATTTTACTGGATGAAACAGAGAATTGTGAGAATTGTTAAGGCTTTACGGCGCAAGGGTTTAGGGTTTTAGCAGAACCAAGTTCTCGTGTTTTCTCGTTTGGGTTTGGATCGGGTTGTGTCGGTTCAAGTCGGTATAAATGTGTTTAGGGTTGTTTTAACCAATGTTAATAATATAAAGGGCTCTTTTGTGTCGGGTTTAAATTTTTTAATAAGTGTAATATTTGTTAAATTTAGTAGATTATCGTATTTGGTAATTTTGTAAAAAAATTTACCAGGAACAAAAGATGACAAACAGTGCTTAAAGGGGGATAAATTGCCAGGAATATTTGTACCTCATGGGGGGCTGTTATTAAAACGTTATCGGGTAATCATAATTTATGTCCAATCTTGCCCCTAAACAGTATTTTATTCGGACGAAAATATCCTTTGGTTTATTAATAATTACAAAATAGCCAATTTACATAAACAAACGTATTTGTCCTCATATTTTTTATTTTCGGACGAAACTGCCCAGATTTTTATCATTTATTTCAGAAATGCCACGCTAATTTGTGTACCCATATTATCCTAAGATTTTTGCATATTGTGACCAATATGCCCTTTAACTTCAATAAAACAACAAGATAAAAGATTTTTTTTTTTTCCTAAAACGCACAGGAGGCACGATTTCATTCTCAGATCTCTATGCTAAACTCGTTCGCCGCTGGTGGAGAAAAATTGCTCGACGATCTTGTTCGTCAGTTCGTTCACTAATTCCGGTATGTGGTTTGCCCTCTTTTCTTCGAATGTAGCATTATTTGTTTCGATTGCAACCGTAAACCTTAACTTTGAAATATTTTGTCTGTCGTTGGTCCACCATCTCGACCATTTGCTTCATAAGTGCCTCGCCACCTATTCTGTTGCTGTGTGCTTGTTCTGTTGCTGAGTTTTTAAGGATTTTTTGCTGTTCTGTTGCTGAGTTTTTAAGGGTGTTTTTATTGTTCTGTTGCTGAGTTTTTAAGGATGTTTTTGCTGTTCTATTGCTAAGATTTTAAGGATGTTTTGGTTGTTCTATTCTGAGATTTTAAGACCTTTTTTTGCTGAGGTTCTAAGTTGCTGTCTTTTATGCTCTATTGCTGCTCGTTGTTGAGATTCCAAGTTGTTGCTTTTGCTATTATGCTGTTGAGACTGTAAGTGGCTATCCTTTGCTGTTGTGGTATTAAGATTTGAATGACAAAGTACAAATAATGAAGATAATATGCTGCTGTTTTGAATTTTATAAATCTAGTATATAGTTTAGTTTACGGGAGTATATTAGTAGAAGTGGACTGATATGCTTCAGTATTGTCTAGTTTAAGGGAGCATATTAGTACACTGTATTGATCTAGTTAGTGTAGTCTAGTTTAAGGGAGCTTATTAGTATAGTGGGGTGTGTCTTGCAATTCTTTATAGTTTATATGTTTGGTACAGGAATACCTTAGTTTATGGGTTATGGAGTGATAGGAATATTGGTCAATTGGATCTTTATGTGTCTATACATGGTCTACAAAATTCTGTGAAAGATTTTCAGGTCTAACTTAGTGATCTTTTTTGGTTTCACTGATTTATGTTTGCCGTTTTGAGTAAACTAGGTGTGAAGTAAAATGGTTAAGAACAATTAGAGATGGGTCCTGAAATTTTTTATGGGAATATTGCACCTTCAGTGGTGCAATTTTATAACCTATCAATATGTTCAATTGCATCCTGTTCAGACACTCTTGGACTTCATATTTTGTTTTATACATCTCCTGTTTGTTTTGATAGTGAAAACCGAATGCTTGAAAAATACTTTGTCACCAAGTAGTAATTATTTGTAATGGAATTAACCCATTCGAAGCTAATCCATTCCCTGCATTTCTATCAGATATTTTACATATCTGCTGAAGCGTCATCATCTTAAGTTTCTCAATGGTGTCAACCTTTTCTTGGCTACCTTTTTGTATTTGTTGTGCGTGTGTCCTTTTATGTATCCTTTATATTAATTTTAAGATTGAGCTGTATGAGTTGCATTGTTTTCATATATCAAATTACTTTGTACTTTTAGTCCCTTTGAAACTGAACTCAAGAGGTAAACCAATTTGTGCTATGGGTTAACTAGTTAACTTGTTTGGATGTTACATGACCTTAATACATTGTTATGCTATAATTGTTGGCTTTTAATTTAATGCATGAGAGAATGTATCCTGTCCAACTTTCTCTTTATCTTCTATTTCAACCCATTCTATCTGCACTTTCTCTGATATGATAAGGAAGGAAATTACTTAATTTGCTGAAGAGTATCTGTAAAAACATATGCTATCATTTGTGAATGTACCCCTCACAGTCAATTTCGAATTTGTTGTACATGGTTGATTGACTTCATTATGCTTTGACCCATGAATTATGTGAAACAGCTATGGCCTGTTTAACAGTCAGGCAGAAGATGCACTTGGTTGCCCTACTAGTCTTCCATTTGGACATGTTGGAAACCATGTACACCATGCTCGTCCTTCTTGGGTTGGCTAATGCACTTAATATACGGGGTAGACGTAGGGCTGCTATATCATATGCCAGTGAGTCTGCGTCTAGGTTTAAGGTTAGGTCGCTCAATTTACACACAATGTTTTTCCAAAGTGATGAGTTATGTTTTGAGAGCTGTAGGATGAATAGGGCTGTATTTCACAAATTATGTAATTTACTTACTATACATGGCAACTTAAAATCAACTTGTCATTCATCCGTAGAAGAATTAGTTGGGACCTTTCTTCATATCCTTGCCCATAACCAAAAGACTAGAGTAATGAAACGTCAAATGCGTAGATCCACTGAGACGGTAAGCCACAATTTTCACTTAGTCCTAAACGCCGTGTTAAGGTTGCATACACTGCTGTTTAAAAATCCAGAGGCCATTCCTGAGAACTCAACCGATGAGCGGTGGAAATGGTTCAAGGTACAGTGTAATCACTAGGTTTACGATGCACATGTAGTTCAGTACCTTATTAAAATCAGAGTTATTGTTTTCTATAAAATATTGTTGTTGTTGTTCTGTGTTAGAACTGTTTGGGAGCCTTAGATGGAACATACATAAAGGGTCACGTGCCGGCTGCCGATATACCTAGGTATCGGTCAAGGAAAAGTGAAATCGCAACTAATGTCCTTGGTGTATGCACACCTGACATGCAGTTTATATATGTCCTCGCTGGGTGGGAAGGTTTCGCTGCAGATGGTAGAGTTCTTAGGGATGTCATTACTAGGAGAAATGCAAAATGTTAGTTGACTATTATGCTCTCACTTATAAAGAACTTTTGACCATCTTATCCTTCCTCACAACGAAAATTACTAACTTTGGGTACTAAAGTGGTATTGTGAAAGTCTGTGAGTGAGAAAGTGTCATTAAGTCATTATTTGGGTGGGAAAAAGTCGTTAACGCTAATATAAAATATTATACGTTAGAAATTCTTCAATCATATGTTGAATGCACTATTTCTACCATGATTACAAAGAGTCAATCCTATTTTGTAAATTGACTTTTTGAAATCATGTTTTATTATCCATAAAAGCATTTATCTATATCATGTGATCTGATTATATTCGTATAAGAAAATAATATATGTCCTTAGGATGGTAGAACCGTGACGAGGGTATTGAGTGTTTCAAATCTTGATAGTAAGAACTCTATGATCACATATGACGGCCATTCTGGAAATGTCTGTAACCCCAGTATTATTCTAACCAAGGACACAGATAATACGACAATCTATCATAGTGTTGAACGACTTTGTCATAAGGTAGTGACTGATCTCACTTGTCAAAGTTATTTATCGACAACCTGGTGCAACACATGGGTGCTTGTCATAGGCGAGTTCACTAGACGGACCCACCAGAGGATTCCATATAGATGGTAACCCTAGTGTCTATGGAATAAATCCTCTAACAGATAGTGGTGCATGTGATCCTTAAACTTGAGATCATTAGAGTGTTTTGTGTACCAATTGGTATGGTTTGACATTAGCTCAACGTAGTTCTACTCAGAACTATCAGAACGATAGTGATTGGCTACATTGAGAAGTGTATTGAGACTATGGTGGATCGATAGATGATTCATCATTCCTAGGTACATGAGAAATTATCTCACTGAGTAATTCGGTAGACAACAACGACACTAAATCTGTGGCCACAGTGGGATTGAGTTGTAGCTCAATCTAATATATTATGTCGTTGGTCCAATAACCGAATACTGAGATATCAAGAATATCTGAAGTTGACACTGCNTGGAACATACATAAAGGTTCACGTGCCGGCTGCCGATATACCTAGGTATCGGTCAAGGAAAAGTGAAATCGCAACTAATGTCCTTGGTGTATGCACACTTGACATGCAGTTTATATATGTCCTCACTGGGTGGGAAGGTTCCGCTGCAGATGGTAGAGTTCTTAGGGATACCATTACTATGAAAAATGGATTAAAGGTCCCCCAAGGTAATATAACCAAAAAATTGTATTTTTAATGTTAGGCTCTGGCATAATAGTGCACTTAGTAATTGTTATTGACTTGAAATTGTTTATTTTAGGGCATTACTATTTGTGCGATGCTGGATACACTAACGGGGAAGGGTTTTTGGCCCCTTATCGAGGACAACGATATCATTTGAGTGACTGGCGACAAGGTCACTAATCGGTATCACCATAAGAATTTTTCAACATGAAACACTCTTAAGCAAGAAATTGTATTGAGCGATGTTTCGGGATCCTGAAAGCTCGATGGGGAATATTGAAGGACACATCTTACTACCCCGTTAAAACTCAATGTAGAATCATTACTGCATGTTGTCTTTTGCACAATTTCATAAGGTCTGAGTTGCCCATTAACCCGGTTGAAGTGGAGCTTCAGGAAGAGGTGAACGATGAAGGGGAAGAGGATGACAAAGGTGAATTAATCAGGCACGTTGAGCCTTTTGCCGCGTGGACTGCATTTAGAGACAATTTGGCGGCTGAAATGTTCAATACTTGGATGGCTGCGCGGAATGAATGATTGTGCTTCTGTTTAATTTATGTGTACTGTTGTGACTTTTTAAATTGATTTCTTTTCCGATTTGCCATGTATGAATGAACCCAAAC